CTGGTTTATTCATAAGGCAATGCGGCTAAGGAAAAAGGGCTCCACTGCGAAATCCACAGGTTCAAACATACAAGGATGAATTTTTTCGCATACGTACAGAGAAATGATGATAGGGACTTTCGAAATTAAGAAAAAATGGTGGGGAGGAGAGGGGGGGCTCGAAGCATAGTTAATCTTCGAAGGTGGACAAGAGGCGTGTTGCATAATCATTGCACCCACCTGTACGAACTATGTCATATGTATGGATTAAGACATCGAGTTGCTTTTGTGGATGAACGAAAAGTGGTGGATCTCGAACAGGCCTGCGTGCGAACCACTGTCCAAAAGCGTAGAATCCATAAGACGGTGGTCACACTGGGCCTTGACAACGTCGATGTAATCCTCAGTACCGTTATTCCTAAGAAGAGTTTCCAAATATGCTCTTCCTCGGTCAGAAACAACCTTCGATTCAATCGTCTATGTATATAGAACTGGAAACTATTCGATGCCTCTATTGCGTGACAACAAAAAGCAGCGATATAAATTAAAGAGATTGAGCTATCGATGAAAAAGGTTCCGATTGTGTAATCAGAACCGAGGCCAAGGTCCTTAATAACGTCACACTCGCCCAGGACTAGCCCCTATGGTCCAACTTTGGCCTGACTCTTGTCAGGGGTCTCTACAGGAACAGTCCGCCCGGCAGTCCCTTCGTGCAATTAACGTCAATGGTGTCACAGGCTACTCTGGAGTTGCAACCAGTCAATAAGATCATCATCTGCATACATGCCGGGCAATCTGGGCTGCTAGTGCGGAGCTAGACGGACGCTGATACAATGTTACCAGGGTTTGCAGAACCGTCAACGCGAAATAGCAAATGGAGCAAAAAAAATGCCAACTAATGGGGCTTTAGGTCCAGACATTAAAACGGAGACTGAAACATGTGATAAGAGAAGCTGCACTACCATATAAACATTTTAGTAAGCAATCATAAACATGCCTTGGGAAACCAGCCTTTCCGCTGCTCATCCCATTCCATGACTGAGCCATCATCATCAACACGTGTCTTTTTTACTGGCTGAGAAGGGGCGCTCGCTGCTGCAGCTTGCAAGCGCAACTGTTCTTCAAATTCTGATAAAGTCTCATTCAACGCCGACATGACAGGACTACAACCAAAAGCCACAACCTGTTCTAAACAAGCGACAAAACCAACGACTTTGCTGTATTTAAAGTTTGTCGGTCTTGCATATTTGAGCAATTCATTTGACCCAGTAAGAGAAAAGACAGCGGCCTCGTTTCGAGTACAGCCAACGTCCTAACCGCTCGGCCTGTGAGACTACGTAAGCTTCAAAATTTGTATTTCCTGCGAACAGAATTCAGTCGTCTGAAAAGACCTACGACACCTATTCATGAAGTGGAGCGTAGCATCGTATACGGTTAGATGAGAGACACAATTATTAAACAGCAGTTGAGATGCCATTTCGCTTTTTGTAAATCCATAGGAAGTTCTGATGAACAGCTTCCTGAGCTGGACGATGCCAACTGGCCGACGTCATCTTTTGCGCCGTGTGCAGTTATTAATTACTACTCAAACGCTCCTGTGTGTATTTCAGCACTATTTATGTAAAATATAATTGTTTTCTCTTCATCTTTTCCGCATTTACCGACACTTGCGTTGGAGCTTGAAGAAAATTCCCATTGCTCAACTTTTTCTGCAGCGTACGTGTGCTTGAGCATTTCGCAAAAGCCCATGCCGTGCATGAGACTCTGGCTACTACGTCCTTCAGGCCCGGTCGCGAACAGAAAGAGAAGGCGGGCACCAACAAGGAGGATCACATATTATGTACAGAATAACTGCTGAGGGGGTTGGAGAGATTTGGCGGCCGGACGAGTGCACCGGCCTAGTTCGGCGTCGGCTGAGTGCCTTACCAAGCGTCCTTCAGAGAATACGTCAAAGCGTCTCCAGGGCGGTCGTGGCCGACTCGACCTTGAATCTGACTGGTCGGCTGGAAAGCCGTGTGGGCTAATTTCAAATGGCCACGAAACGCACGTGCAGACACTAGCGAGAGGCCGGACCGCTCTGAGCCGGACCACTACAGACAGATTACTGCGCTATACACCAAGTATTGCATGTGTGACTGACAGCACTGCTAACACTCACTATCAATCGTCTATCCGTAAGGTATTTGATGTCTCCTTTTCTACTTATAAGGTAGTCACTTATCCGACATTTGGAAAAATTTCCGATGACTTCATATAGAGAAGCTTAAATGGGCGAATCCAAATATGCCCAAATATGCTGGACTGAACTGAATCGAAATGAATCAATAATATTATTTGTCGTACAATAGGGAAACAATCTCTTATAATTATACAGCAAGTAGTAGAGACAGATGCCGTAGGTGGACATTGCAGGGCAGTTTTAACTTTTTAATGCCACCTGGGACTGACAATTGTGTGGGATTTAATCATATTTTAAGATTGACTAACGGTTAGGGTTTTTACTCAACTAAAACAAATCATGATATAATATACGCACTAATGCGACCGATGGTACCTTAATTTATCGTCAGTTACTGCCTGACATTTTAGGAACATGGGTGAGCATTCTTTATATTCAGTCATTTGACACACTAGGAAATTCAGATCTGACGTTGGAATAATTTGTGGGCCAATATTCGAGGCTTGAGGGATTTTTGGGATGTGAAGTCAAATGAAATGTAAGTTTAGCAGGGGGTTTTCTCTCCAGACCCAGTAAACAACGAAATGAGTGACGTAATGCTCTCTCGGCCCAGAATCCGACGAGAAAATTCGCCCGTCATCACGACAAATGCGTCTGTATTCTCAACTATTGTGTAAGGCATTACCTTCGTCAAGTTAACAAAGGCGGTGTAGACGTGTATCCACATTTCCTGGCACTCCTTCTGTAACTGGCGAGCGGCACAGATCATGTCAGTGGTTGCACAGTGTCACCGGAATCCACAGTGACTTTCTGGCGGAAGTTCTTGTTTTATATGACCGTTGACGGGTTGAGGAAGATGCCAGCAAAGAGCGCCCGGTGATGCTACATCGCGAGATTCTCTGTTGTTGGTACAGAGCTGTCAGTTTTCTTTGCACTTACACATAGGGATGATGGGGAACTTATCAATGGCGCCACATCTCCTGGAAGATCACTGTGAGTTGGTCCATCAGTCGATGGCCGTCCTGCTTGTAGATTTCAGCCGAGATTTCATCGGAACCTGGTGCTTTCTCGTTGGAGCGTCCTTTCGCGACACGGGTGATTCTTGGGAGCCGGGGCAGAGATCTAGGTTGATGTGACTTCCACTTGGCGGAGTTGGTCGATCGCGGATTCGATGATTGCGAAGGAAAGATTTAGGACGCTTCTGAAGTGCTCGGCCCAGCTCTTCAGAAGGTGCGACTTCCCTATCGGGAATGTTGATCCATTAGAGTTGAGAAATGGAGCGACAAAAAGATCGTTGTATTGTTGCGGTTGTCATACCCCTGAATCTCCTCTGCCTTGTGAGCTATCCAGGTGTCCTTCATTTCTCACAATCACTGCTGCACTGGGCGCCGATGCTGGTAGAAGGCCGTTCTGTTTGCACCGGTTGGACGGTCAAGGCCGGCACTGTGTAGCCTGTTCTTCTCGGAAAGCAGGTCGCTGATTGCTGTGTCGTGTTCGTCTAGGTAGCCCAGGTGTTCACTTGTACGGCCGAGGACACACAGGACGGTCGGATAAACGGCGTCCGGCAGTTGGCACAATGGAGTCCCCTCGAAGTCGTTTTCATGCAGAGCCCGAGAGTCTTCCAAGCACTGGGTCTGTCGATTGCTGAAATACGAACAGTAGGTAGGCAAAAGCGGCAAAGCGACATTTAACTCACCTGGTAGTCGCCTACTTCGTGGCCTCCAGCGGGCTTGCAGACGGAGCCTCATCTTGAAGATGACGAGACAGTGGTCCGTCTTACCATAGGCTTTTAAGATCGCCTTGGTCACCAGCGCGTCTTGTCAACCTTGTCTACCGATGAGAACGTAGTCCAGCAACTGCCAGTGCCGCGATTAATGGTGCATCCGGATGGCCTTCATCCGCGTTGGAAGGCCGAAGTAGTTGTTGCTCACGATGAGCGGCTGTTCTGTGCGGATTCGAAGGAGGAACAGGCCGCCGTCATCGAAGACACCGAGAACGTGGGAACCAAGCTCACCTCTCCAGGCAGCATGGAATGTGTCGACGCCGAGAGTCGACTTATCCGTCTTTGGCACAGTCGCCAGAAGGGCGTGCAGGACCTCGTAGAATTTGGTCCTCAATAAGGCGCCGGCGTGGGTGATGGTGGCGAAGTCGCATCCTTGAAAAGGGGGCGCAGGCTCATCAGTCGGTCTATGATGCCCTGCGACAGACAGGATAATAGTTCCATGATGTCGTTGCGGATGGCAAAGACGACGCCCGAGTCACGCTCTTGGCCTTATTTGGAGAATTGGGTCTTGCTGAGTGCAGCGATGTCCACCTTAAGGCGCGCCAGTTCCCAAGCGAGCGGCGCCATCCATTGTTCCTGCTGGTTGTTCCTCGAATTGTCTAGAAAGGATCGAACATTCCAGGCTACCAGAGTAAGCGAACTCACCCGAGCAGCCTGTGGGTTTGTGGGGGGGATGGAGAAGTTGAAGATAAATTTCGTTGTTTCTTTTTTTTTTTCGGCCTTGACTGCATGTGTTGCATCCCGCTAGCCACGGTCTGCGCGCAGATTTTATGAACCCAGATTTGTTTAGGGCATCATTTATAGCACCCTCCTCGTCCCCGCGAAGGTAACCAGTGCTTTCCCTAAACAGGGCTGCTTATACGCACCAGACAGCTACCGCTCCCTAATACGGGCCACGGGATTTAGCGGGAGGACGACCGATGACCTCGTTTGCCTACATGATTTTTGTCTTTCTTATCGTGGGACTTCCGACCATAGTGTTAAACGGTAGATTAGAGTAGAAATAAGAGAGGGAGTGAAGAACGGAGGGGGAGCGCGGAGAGAAGGTACTGAGGAGTAAAAAGGGACACAATTACCGTCTGTGGAGATGCACACACGGATACCCTCACCTGGTTTGGCCCGCCGGTTAAAGCGGTTACCGGGATGTGATCTCTAGCCGTAGCCTAGCTTCGAGTAGCCACATGTGAGAGTTGGGTGCCAGTTATTGGCCGCTAGGCGCAGTCAACACCCGTCAGCCAGTGAGTGACCTACTACGATCAGCACGCGGACCCACAACCGGAAACCCCTGCACCCCAAGTCCATCGTGAGCATGGTAGGATCCACTTAGTTCGAGAACCTCGTCAAGTCATTCATAACACACGAATCCGGAGTTAACCAGACATTCAATGACGAATAGGCTTCTCTTCATGTGCACACACACATGGTCTCAGTCAATGATCGGCGTCACAGACCAAAAACTGTGGATGTCGAAATTGAATGCGCGTTCCAGAGTCTTTGAAGCTGCAGACGAACGAATTTACCCAATAGTCGAATTTACCTCTGAAGCTTACCAAAGTGCCCATGCAATCGGAAAGCAGGGAATTTAAGTCCACGATGCTCCTGGTTTTTGGTTTGGTGGCAAGACTAACGGGAGATACCTTTATCCTCCAAGCCCCAGTGAGGAAGGACTACAATGTACAAACAGAAAGGGATGTTTTAGGGCAAGGTGATTCCATACCAACAACACAGGTAGTAGCCAAAAAGCCCATACACGAGTGTTTCGACGATATTCTGCCGCCGCATGACGCAGTTGCGAGGGGTTTGGCTCATCAGTGGGTCTCCCAGCATTCGCTGTCTGCTGTCTGGTAGATACCCTAATGTAGAAATCCTTGCTTTTTAATTCCCTTAGAAATTAACTGCGAACTTGAAGTAGATCAGTATATTTAAGATCTATGGACTCAGACCAGTATTATGGCTAGATTTTAAAGTCTACAGCATTTGAGAAATGAGACAGCAGGTCAGGAGATATCGAGAAGGAGACCATACCAAGGTCTGTGAAAAAGAACTTTGTCGACAAAATCAGTGATTTCACCACTGAAACATACAACAGTCCGGCTCTGTAAAACCGTTTAATTGTACCAGCTTAAATCCTCACTCGGGTCAAAATGTACTATGTTCCACACAGTGCCTGTTAAGAAGGGTTAGGCCACAGCAGGCGTAACGATACGGACTAGACCTCCGGCACAACTTTCTGGTAGTGAAAGGGGCGTGACCGTCGTAATGACCTGGAATAAAAGTGCTTACACTGTGGGACGACGTATTTAGCACATTATGAAAATGAATGTCGGAGAACTCGAACGCGCCCTAGCCGCTGGTGATAGGAAGAGGTCTGAGCAATGATCTGTCAGTTCTGATGATTACAGAAAATTGAGGTAGAGCGGTTATGACATTTGCAAGAGATAAAGTGTCGGCGGACTTCCGGAACCTGGTAAGCAAATTTTCCATTGACGGAAACCCTTCATGTAGCCAAAAGTACAGAGTCACAACGGGATAAACAAAGCTGCTTACCAATGAAAATCTGCAAGTCGCATTTGGCGATATTAGTTGAAAACTACGAAGACCTTCTGGCAGAAATTTTGCAAAATCCACCCACGGATTGAAGTGTTTACGTCGTTGCGTCAATCTTTATAAAACGCGCAGTTTACACTGGTATCTGCTTCCTTATAGGTGCCACTTGAGTCTTCACCGTCACCCACATCAGTCACGGCGGGAATTTATTACAGTCTGAGGGCAAATAAAGCAGCGACTATGCTTCGGTGTCGTATGAAGACAAAGAAATTTCTCCCCCCCCTTACAGGTCGCTGCTGTCGCGGCATTTGCCTGTCAGGGGAAGCACTCTCACCCATAAATTCTCGACTAACCCCACGATTCGCAGTAAGCATTATCTTTCATTCAATAAAATCTTCTGTCAGATTCGACTTCGTCCATTTAGAGTACAGACATGAAATGCCGACGAGGTTGCACCCGTTAGTAAAAGTCCACGATTTGTGATCAAGAACTAAAGCTGCTGTGAACAACGACTCAGTTAATATACCTATTGGTATCAGCCAGGGCAGCTTTCTCACACCAACTCTGTTGGACATGACAGAAGGGCTTCCCTGGTAGAAGTCGATAAACCACCCACGGCGCCAGGTTATGTCGAAGTACGCACTCAACGTATTTGGCTTGGAGACGTCCTGAAAAAAATTCAGCGAACAAGCCACATATGGGGCTTGTTAGCAAAGTAGCTGCTCCCAAAACCCGCTCGTCTTCCCTTTTATCACACTTATCGGGATATAAAGACTGGCGACGCAGATGTCCGGATTAGTTTAACGGCAAAATAGTGCAGCAGAACGTAGATGCGTTAAGAGCCAGTATAGCGGCATTGCTTGGAAAGAAGTTTGACAGCGGATGACAAGAACAAATGAAAAAAGCTTGTGGCAGCCCGCGCCTACTTGCTCCTCGCCGCTTTGTCATGCTGTCTTTCTATCCGCCTTAAGGTCCCTATCGACTCGCTGCTGGGATCGCGCGAGGCTTGTCACTCGTCTCACGAGAGCTCGAAGCCAACAAACATTGCCCCTTCCCTGATTGGCTGACCGGAACTACCTGAGACGGAATGAGGGTGCACACGCGCGCTGGGGGTTGATCCCCTCCACGGCGGACACAGACGACGCAGCTTACATGGAGAGACAACTTGCGGCAGTTGTTTGCAAAGTCTCTTGTACACACTTCATCAGCAGTAGAGGTTATCCAACGCAATCCGTCTCTCCCGGCTTCTGATTCGGTAATCTTTGTGATGTTGGCCACTACACTCCCGACAAGCTCAAAGACCGAATCACAGATTTCACATCCGATCCCGATGGCCGCATCAATTTTGAAGTGTGAAACTGAAAATACGTAGTGCTATTTGGAGAGCGTGGCTCAAAATTGGAGTAGGTAAAGTTCTGTTTTGAAAGCTAGGCCAGCGCGAACATAGGCGGTACGTAAAGTTCGTCTTACAAAAGAGATCGCTGGACATCTCGTTTGAAGGTAGCGTTAAAAACTTGAGGTCTATCACTTTTCCAAGGTCGCTATTCCACCGACTTTTGAGTAATTCAAGTTAGAGACAGCCTCATGAAAACTATGTTGATCTGGATGGCCAACTGACGCGTATCATCTGGCTGATCTAGAACAGACCATTAGCTAGCAGATAAAGACTTCTCTTTTCATTAATTCATTAACTTTGCCGGAGGAAGCTGACGTACGCACGCGGCTACACGACCCGCTTGGCCAAAAGAGCGAGATTACGGCTCAGAGCCGGCAGAGAAATGAGTCCGGAACTTAAATAGGTAACAATCGGGAGATGGCACCCAAATATCTGTTTCTTAGAATGCCTACTAAAGCTACTTGAGTAGGTTATAGCCCTACATATTTGTTCATAAGCCACACCCAGAAGGCATTAGGCTGATCAATGGTGCGCACAACCAATGTGCGCCTGCGTATATTGCAAAAATAAGCAACCTGAGGAAGACCTTTGGAGGGTTAAGGCGATCGATAATGCGACCCCACGCCAAGAACAAGTCAAGGTAAGCCAGACGAAACACCCAAGCTAGAACGAACTAGCTGACAACGCCGCCCAGCGAAGAACAAAGGCAATAGATGAGAAATCAGTCAGGGTTGCCAAAACTAACACCAGTTGATTGGCGTCGCGACCTAGGGTGAAAGGAAGACGTGACCACGCACGGCGCGCGAAATCCGACAGCCAATCAACGTGCAGCGCAGCGTCGAGCAGGCATGATGCCCTTCTTCACGCGTGCGGCCCAATCAATGGCCGGTCTACAATTTGAGACTCTTCCGTTGGGGAATTCTCACGCGAAAAACGGTCAATCCACGACCGGCAGGCCATAGGCTGAAATTTTATATAACACTTAGGGCTCCAAATAAGCAAGGCGACTTTGTAGTTGCAAACCGTGTTTCGCAGGCCGAGAATAAAGTGGCTGCTCCGACAACCCGCATGCCTCCACTTTCATCAAACCCATCCGGATATAACAGACGTAAAAAAGGGCACAGCGAAATTGAGAACAAACTCCTTCAAGCTGAATACGATCAGCTCGGGTTCTGCAGCCGGAAGTACTTGCCCCGTCAGCAAAATGGGCATGCTCGACATGGAGACAACTGTGCTACTTGACCTTTGACAATCTTGTCACGTTTGTTTTACTGTAGCATTTGTTTTAACGTAACGAATACTCCGCCGCTTGCGTGCTCCCTGGTCAGGTCGTTGCACATTTTGAATATTAACATTAATCACTTACTGGCCTTCCTTACCTCTCTCCGTTTATG